GACAGTGGGCACTTTATCGGTCACCTTTAAAGTGCCAGTGACAAGGACCACCGTTTTGTTTACATATATCGTGAAAACTGTGTCGGCGACCCCAAGCACCAGGGACAAAGACCCACGGTCTTTACGACTGACAAATATTAACAGATGTCTACCAGTGTCAGTGGACCTCAAAGTGCCGTCAGTGACAAACGCTTCCGTCCGCCCACAACAGATATCAACAGATGGCCACCAATCACTTACTCCCGATGCACTCTGTACCATCTAAAGCGTGGGAACGGTTATCCTGATGGCAGTGTTATCGCGCGATTCAAGTCACTGAACATATTCCGCGCGCGTAGCCGTAGACAAGGCCGTCATACACATAAGCCCATTAGAACCGTAACCTCCACTAGGAAACCGGAGAAACCCATCCCTGACAGACCGTACCACTACACTGAAGTTCCACGAATATGGTATGATCTCCCGTCTCTACTGCTATCCAACGTCACTTCCCTAGCTAACAAGTTTGATGAGCTGGCAACTACAGTCAGGTCAGCCGCCGCGAGCGTCGTTGCCATATGTGAGGCTTGGCAAATTGTGCCTGAAACGTGTCATATTGAGGGATATCAACTCTTTCATCACCTTCGTTCACATAGACGCGGAGGGGGCGTTGCCCTCTTCTGTCAAGATGACCTACGCCCGTCACACCTGGATGTTCAAGTCCCAGCAGATGTGGAAGCATTATGGGTACATGTTGTGCCACAGGACCACCCGCGCCACACTGCTTCCATCGTAATCTGTGTGGCATACCATCCGCCTTGCTCACCCACCAGAGACACTCTTATCAATCATCTCATTACCACCTCAGACCACCTCAGAGTTAGGTACCCATGTGCCAAGTTAGTATTATGTGGGGATTATAATGAAATTGACACCACTGATATCCAGGACCAGCTATCACTATCACAAGTTGTGACCTTCCCCTCACACGGTCAAAATACCCTTGACCTTATCTTAACTGACTTAGCGGACCAGTACCAACCACCTCAACCAATGCCTCCTATCGGGTGTAGCACACACTTATCAGTGCTCTGGTCCCCAGCTGCCACTCCCACTCAAGTACAGAGACCCTACATCAAGACCTACAGGCCGATTACTGACTCTGCAGTGCGCCTCTTCGGGCAGTGGATAGTTCACCATCCCTGGACTGAAGTACTTAGCGTGGATGACGTGGAAACCAAATGGATAAATTATACCAACACCACCACGGAAGCTCACCACCACTTCTTCCCCGAGAAGTCCATCAGATCTCACCCAGCTGACTTGCCCTGGATCACACCTCGGATCAAAAGACTTATGCAACAGAGAGACAGAGCCTTTCATCTCAATGACCACATCCGCTACAGGTCCCTTCGCAACCGAGTCATCCGCGAAATACGCACTGCAAAGAAGTCCCACTACCCAACCAAATTACAACACCTGAAGCAGACCAACATCAGTCAATGGTATGGTAAGCTTAAAGAACTCTGTGGACTAAACAATAAGACACACCCCCTCCCCTTCCTTAGCCATCTCACTAATGTTGACGCAGCTGAGCAAACAAATAACCATTTCGCTACTATATGCCAGACGCTCCCCCGGCTTGACACAACCACTCTCCCTGCTTACCTACCAGCCCCCCTTCCCACTGACTTAGTAGAAGAATTTGAAGTAGCAAAACGCCTGGACAAACTAAAATTAAAACGCTCTACCACCCCCATTGACTTACCAATGAAACTCTTCAAGGAGTTCTCCCCGGAGCTTGCTAAGCCCCTATGCTCCATCATCAATGCTTCTCTCAGTCAAGCCAGATGCCCAGCTGACTGGAAGACCTCTTATGTATCACCAGTGCCCAAGTCAACCAGCCCACAATCCTTAAATCAGCTACGACCTATTGCAATCACCCCAATACCCAACCTAATCTGTCAAAGTTTTGTGTTCGACTGGGCTTATGCTGATATTGCAGGAGTCGTAGACCCTCAGCAATTTGGCAACATGAAAACTTCCTCCACCACTCACTGTCTTGTCAGCTTTCTCGATTACATATACCGACATCTCGAGAAACGAAAAACGTCTGTAGCTGTCGTCTTCATTGATTTCACTAAAGCATTCGACCTAGTCGACCTCAATATAATCATCAACAAAGCTATTGACCTCGGGCTTCGGAAAAGTCTTATACCATGGCTTACAGACTTCCTCAGTGACCGACGCCAAGCTGTATGCTTCCGAGGGGCTGTCTCCACCTTTCAGTCACTCACCTGTGGCGTCCCCCAAGGCACCAAGATGGGACCACTCTGCTTCCGTATGCTCATCAATGATGCCCTAAGAGAAACCCCTGCTCGCTGGAAATATGTCGACGACTCCACCATTGGGATCAGCGTCAACAATTCTGCTCCCAACTATACCGCCCTTCAGGATTTATTGAACAGTCTCCAAAACTGGGCCACCAACAACCATGTCACCATCAACCATACCAAGACCATGGTTATGCACATCAACCTCTCCTCCGACATTGTCCCACCTCCTTCCATTACTTTAGGTCCGAACACACTCCAGGTTGTAGATTCCACGAAGCTCCTCGGCGTCACCATAGACAACAAACTAAATTGGAAACCACACTTCAGTGAAGTTGTCAAATCCTCCAGTTTCCGTCTCCACCTCCTCCGCCGACTCAAGTCCCTCGGAGTTCCTGCACCCGAGCTCCTCAGTGTTTACACAACATTCATACTTCCCAAGCTCACCTATGCCTCCCCCACCTGGTCTTCCTCCCTAAATGCCACACAACGTAAACACCTAGAAAAAGTGCAAAAGAGGGCATGCAAGATTATTCTCTCCCCTTCCTACTCCACATATCAAGAAGCGCTCAACACACTGACCCTTTCGACTCTCACTGACCATCACCACGACCTCATCTGCAAAATTTGGTAAGAAGCTTCTACACCATCCTCGACACCGGCTCCTACTACCACCTGAGATCCCCAGCCCGAGAATTGCTGTTCGACACCACAACCGCATCCAGCCCATACGTGCACGAAATGACCGCTATAAGAACAGCCCAGTCCCAACCATTGTAAAAATTATCAATAACTTGTAATAAACCAGTGTATCCACTCCCATTAAATACTACTTCTTGCATTGTCACTATGTTGAAATGCACTGTAGTTTGAGCTTTTCCCCATCCAGTTATTATATATCTTATTTGTATCACTTATGTTACTTGTATATTATTTGTAATTCGAAACCCATTCCCCAAATATGTAACTGTATATTTTCAGCCTTCTGGCTGCCAAGCTCTTTCAATAAACCGTTAATTATTATTATTATTATTATTAACTAATCTATTAACATTCTTTTCATCAGTTTTCGAATCGGTGGACAAGGGGCACAATTATGATGTGGTATATCTCGACTTTAGCAAAGCCTTCGACAGAGCCCCCACGAAAGACTAATTAGAAAGGTAGAAGCTCATGGAATCAAAGGTAACATCCTTAAATGGATTAGGGCGTGGTTTCAGGACAGGAAACAGCGAGTGAGCATTAAAGGCACTAAGTCCCATTGGAGCAACGTCACAAGTGGAGTTCCCCAAGGCTCAGTACTTGGACCATTATTATTTATTATATACATAAACGACATAGATATCGGCATAGACAGCAACATAAGTAAATTTGCTGATGACACTAAAATAGGACGTGTAATTAAATCTGAAGAGGACTCGGCAAAACTACAGGAAGATCTAAACAAATTTTTCGAATGGTCTGAAAAATGGCAGATGAAATTCAACGTGGACAAATGTAAAGTACTCAGTATAGGAGATGTAAACAGGGAAACCAGATACCAGATGAACAACGATGCCATAGAGAAATCCGATTGTGAGAGAGATTTAGGAGTAATGATAAGTAGGAACCTTAAGCCAAGTAAACAATGTGTTTTTGCTCGTAACAAGACTAATAAAGTACTTGGGTTCATACAAAGGAGTGTTAGTTACAAGACTAGCAAGGTCATCCTAAAACTGTATCTTGCTCTTGTGAGACCACACCTGGATTATGCAATTCAGTTCTGGTCACCGTATTACAGAATGGATATAGAATCATTGGAAAGAATTCAGAGGAGAATGACAAGACTAATCCCGGGCATTAGGAACCTTGAGTATAGAGACAGGTTAAAGCACCTTAATTTGCACTCCCTCGAGAGACGTAGAGCGAGGGGCTACCTGATAGAGGTGTATAAGTGGAAGTCAGGGCTAAACAAAGGGGTCATTACAAAGGTACTCAAACTATCCAACCAGGAGCGAACTCGTAACAATGGTTTTAAATTAGACAAATTTAGATTTAGGCGTGAAATAGGTAAACACTGGTTTGAAAACAGAGTTGTGGATGAATGGAACAAGTTGCCAAATATCACCATTAACTGGAATACGCTGAATAGCTTCAAACATAGGTTGGATGCTTATATGAGCAATAGGGGTTGGGTGTAAACGGGACTGCCCAGTATGGGCCAATAGGCCCGCTGCAGTTTCCTCCATTCTTATGTTCTTATGTTCTTATACAGAACTTAATAACCTACCATTTTTTTTTTACCATAGCACCTATTCACACACTACTTCACGGCTTATCTTAGTGACTTGCGAAAAACTTCCTCACTCCACATACATATTCATTATTGTATGCATTTTTCACGGCAAGTCACAAACTGAAGAGATGTTGCTCCCTCAGGGGTTCCATGCAGGTGTTTCGTAAGTCAGTTTCCTAATTATTTCATGCGCCCTGTTCCTTACCTCCATAGCAAACACTGCTTCCCAAACATCTATATTTATCCATAAATTATATTGTACACAGCACAACAGCTTAACGCATACGTAGGCAATTGTATATAATGACATATATTTAGAGTCTTTATTGGCTCCATTCATTTCAAAACAACCAAAAATATTGATGTAATCTTATCATTTCCTAGCAAAGTTTATTTCATATTTGTTGTTGCAGAATGCTTAATAAGGACGCATCAAGAGATCGAGGCTCCATTTTCAGTCAACGTCTTGAATTACATCAATCCATGGAATGGAACTGAAATTGCTATCGCTTATGATAATCGCGACGATGTATACTGGAGAGACAGTTTTTTTGTTTACAACTTCCAAACCAAGCAGTACACTACGAGGGATGGTAAAAGTGAAGAGCAACACTTCCCGCATGTTATTGTCGTCCCACACGGATGGATCACCATGAACCTTACTGTATTTGGCAACCAGTTTAATCTCACCCTTAATGATACTCAACCGGTGACGATTATCTCCAGTGACCTGATATTTGAAATTGCCTCAGTGACTCTTTACGGAAAATTCTCAATATGTCAGTCTCGTAAGTTGTGCTCAAGGATGTGTTTTAGAACGTTTGATTTATTTGCAGTGAACACATTTTAAAATAATCAAAATTAAGGGTGTTGGACAGTCATTAAATTTTGTGTTACCGTTACCACAGTGAGTCCAACGTGGAAGGTGGGTGAGGGAAAGAGTGTGGAGGTGCCGCTACAGCCACAGTACACTTGGGGCAGCAGTCAACGACAGCAGACACTGCTGGTGACCGGTCCCACCAACGCCCGTCCTTACCTCACCTCCCCTTCCCACCCAGATGACAAGACTTATATCCCCCCCAACATCAACTTCCTCGTCAAAATCTCTTACCAAGAGTCGTCTGTATTTATGTATCCATATCAGGTAAGAAATTCACTTCTGTAACACTATATTCTTCTTGTGATGAATGGCTGTCTGTGATATCTACAAATATTTCCATTACATTTCCAGCAAGCACAAACTGAGAGGAAACCTGGTAGCTCCACTAAGGAGGACAGAGAGGAATTATGAAAAACCTTAACCAGTAAGGGGTGCGACGCTAAGGGTTACTGGTTCACGCCTTCACCCATAAGAACATAAGAACATAAGAAAATAAGGAGTCTGCAATAGGCCGGTTGGCCTGTGCATGGCAGCTCCTGTCGAGAGTTATTACCACTCTCTATCATCCATGAATCTATCTAGCCTCCTTTTGAAACTTTCCAGAGTTCCCGCACTTACTACAAAGTTGCTAAGCTTGTTCCACTCGTCCACCACCCTATTTGTGAACCAGTTTCTTCCTATCTCCTTCCTATCTGAGAATGGATACCTAATTTTACAGTTGAGTAAAAGAAGGCAGTTGAGTGCACTACCGATTACGCTGCCTCCTTGTGCTATGAAGGCTTAGAAATGTGTTTTATCAGCACTGTCGCAAACGGGCCGTCAAGCCTTTGGAACCCTCTTTCACTTTCCCCAGAGAAACTTCCTTAAACAAACTTTCACTTGTTGATCAGACAGGAGCTGTGGACAAATGTCTGACCATGTAGTGAACTATTTCGCCCTTATCTCATAGACTGAGATACTTAGCTAAATCTAAGACTATCTTCGTTCAATTAATAATAGTCAGATGTGTCTTTTGTAAGATTGCAACTTTTCTATGTTGGGGATTGCCACTTTATTTTAATTTCTATAACCGTCTTGGTCATATTTTTTTCATTTTCTTTATTTTCTAAGACCTTCTCAGTACTTATGGTATTTCTTTTAATGCTCTTACTTTTTTGTTTATTTTACTTATATTCTCAGCTTTACTTAGTTATATTCTATTCTGTGGATTAACCTGGGAAAACCACATTCTTTTGCATTCTTCACATTCGTATAATTATTATACTTACTTGTAAACGCTGCCACCACCCAGGCTTTTCTTTAGTATATAACTTCTACCATGTACGGTCTCGGTCAAGATTCTTCGAACACTGCTGGAGACAGCTGGCAACTCAAGGCCGTTTGTTTACGATACTACTTAGTAAAAATTATGAATGAATGTAAAAGTGAGCGGTGATTGGTTACTTAGTTCCTCGTTGCTTAATTAATGGTTGGGCTTTGTTGTTTCGTATTATATTATACCTTTCTGCTGGTATATACTGTTAATTTAATTTTAAAATGGATAGAGCAATGGGCCAACCTATATGAATTTATGTTTAGACAAATTAAACATAAGTAAAAATCGGTAAGTATGTTAAACAACATTATACATCGGGCACAGCTGTTTGCAGGTTGTGTATGAGGTTGCTTGTTTATCATTAATTTATACCAATATTATCTTCAAACGTTTAATCCATTTCGGATAATTAATCCAGTTGTATGTAACCGATGCTAAACAGGCTTCTTTCTAAAGACGCTGTTTTCATGCAACACAAACTGCTGTTTTAATTCGCTGTGGGATTAAGCAGAATCATCGGTTCACTGCTACCTGTAGTAAGTGTGTGTGTGCCTTACACTGTGTGTGTCTTTGCCTGTATGTGTCTTTGCTTGTCTGTAAAAACAGTTGTATAAATGAAACAGTATTATGAAGTTTATTTAATGAAATTATTTATTTTACATTCCCTGTGAGGCATTGGAAAAAGAATTTTATATAATTATAATGTTTTATTTATTCATCTATTTATTTGTGTTTCAATTATATGTTATGAAATGGATACTACACAGTTTCTACGAAATGAAAGACTTTCCAATGCGATCCTGTGGTGAACCAGTTTAAAAACAATGTTTTTTGCTGGCAAACAATCAATCAATAATCGAAAGAAATGTCATTTGATATATATAATAAGCTAAGTCTACTCAGATGACAATCGTAATGACTGTTATAGCTGCTTAATTATAGGTTCTGTCGAAGTTAAACAGGCTGGTACATTTATAGTATATTGGGTTAGAGTAGAGAAACCCAATTGTCTGTTTCTTCCTTTATTGAAGAACTATCGTTTAGACAATTCCTGAGTGTATATCAACCATAACTTCCACTATTTATGAGTGTGAAGAGAGAGGACGGCGGCTATGTAAATAGACAGTTTAATCACGTCCTTTCGATGTGAGATTATGAGTGGGACTGCCCATGGGTGCCGGCTTATCCGAGCTGACCCATGTGCTGACCCATGGAGTCAGTGGCCCCACCCCAAGGAGGCTACCAATCACATGATAAGTGCATGACAACTCATAGCCAGTGGAAAGTTACAGGGGATGACTTAGTATATAAATCAAATGCAATTAACCCATTTATATAATCTTTCTGTTGATGAAAGAGGGGCCATTACATCTCTCGGTCACCTACCATCGGAGCTCCGCGAGGACTAAATAAACTCTCAGACTACATCCTATACATAACCCTAACCATGTTATAAACATATATGAAAAAACTAAGCTGGGACTCTGAAACCGTAGGGTTTTCATCAACTACAGAGGTCTTAGGCTTAACAAGTGTCTTGCTGGTTAGAATGTTGTGGCCAATTGTCAACTTGGATGACACTGACTTATAATAACAAAACAGAAACATAACTGCCAAAATTAACACAATTGTGGGAATTGTTAGACTTAGTAATGCAAATTCCTGTGAAAAGTAAAATGGCAGATTATTACTCAAATCAGCAAATTGAGTCTCTTTCAAGTAGGAAATCACCTTTAATTTCTCTGAAACAATCTGAAGGTCACTAACAGTAAAGTTCATAACAGGAAACAAGGGAATTAAATCAAACATGAGATTTAAATTCAAAGCAAAATGCTGATGAGTAGGCAAGGTCCGTAATGAACTACAAATTACTTCACAGTAATCCTGAGCCTTGTAATGACCTTTCACAACTAACTGTTTACCACCATCGTGGCATTTTAAAATAACAGTAGTGTCATTAGGAAAAAACAAGTACTGCACATTATGGAGATGAGCATGAAACACAGTTTTAACACTAACTGGCCTTTAGCTGCATTGTGTAAGCGCTGTGCGTACATTAGTTTGTATGACCGCCAATTCACATATCCCTTATGCAGCAGGAATAAATGCGAACATATAGGCTGGACATAAGTGAAAATGTAAATATGACGACTTACACAGCGATAGTACCCTAGGATCATCCAACGCCAAAAAAGAATATTCTTCATCTACAAGAAAAAGTTCTTTAGGCCTATCCAGAGCATACCGTGTGTCGTTAACAAACCAAGGGAAGGGTTCTAAATGCCATGCATTAAACTTATGTTGCCCTAGCATAGGTATGTGGATAAGAATAGCATTGTGCGTGAGAATCGACTCCAATAGAGGATAATAGTATTCCACCTCATGATCATTAAAAATAGGAGTTAAATGATACGTCAACTTGGTAATCTGTAATGCAGCAAGAAGAGTCTGCACAGGCACAAGCTTTGCGTCCACACTCCCTATCCCTGCATCTACTATGCTGTCAATTGGTTCATTTTTATTAGTAATGATATTCTGAACTGAATCTTCCGCACCATGCAAATATTCAGAACAATAAAGGAGCCACTCAAACGTAGGGACTGAATTCTGCAACTTATACACAACCCTCGATATATGGTTAGACTCCGATATTATCGCATTAACTTTTGACTCTAAAGCAGTAATCGCATGGAATGTCTGAGATATAACACGATTCTGCTTAGATACAGCTTGATCGAAAATGTTCATGCGGTCTCCCAATTTAGCTACATCGTCGGCAGTTGCCGTGCCAAACAAAGTGCTTTGGATAAGACTCACAAAATTAAACAAACCCCTCTTTCGTCGTGCTTGAGAACGCACTTCCTTTGCAAGATCAGCCTCAGACACTGGTATTCTTTTTCCGACAGCGACGAGAAGCTTGTGAACGGTCCTGAGACGAAGTTGTTGAAGCTCAACAGTTTGTGCAACCATTGTCGATACATTAGGAGCTGAACGGAGATCATCTAGGACTGCCAATGCTGACTGTAGTTGCGCGTCGACGGTTTCCATCTGACGGGGAAGATTGAGCAGTCCATGCAACTCACACTTGATGTTCACCACGTCCTCTACTATGAGAACGCGTCCAAGAGGTGCAACCAGCGCACCAGGCTTGAGGACGTATGTGGACATGTCTGTCAACACAACGGTGCCACAACACAGTAGGAGCAACACATTGATGATCCAAGCCATTCTGTAAGAAATCTCATTTGTATTAATATGTACTTGCAGAACGAAGCTTCATGCAATATTCATTAGGCACACTCTGCTTCCGTACTGTCTGCAAAGAGGTGTGTATTACATCATATCATCTGTGGGTAATAAATGTTCATGGGTCTTCTTAAGACGATACGCATGCACGACATCTGCGATCTGTGCATTAGGCTTCCAAATTTTAAATTTGTTGCCCGCTTCGTTGGCGATAATGTGGAATGGACCCGAAAACTTAGCCGTAAGCTTGGAGTTCCTTTCAGGTTCTCTCACCATAACAGCATCGCCTATCTGTAACACGACAGGTTTAGCTTGTTTATGTTGCTTGACCATCATTTCAGCGCGTGACGCTGCTAAATGTGTTCGTACTTGGCTATGAATATCCGTAAAAACACGGATTTGTTTTGCCGCGAAATCATCCATATTATAAGCAGGGCTTGGCGTGTCCGTAAGTACATCATAAGGCAGACGTTTGTCTGTACCATAGACAATGTAGTAGGGTGATTTGCCCGTAGAGCTATTAATCGACCCATTAATAGACGCTGCAACCTGCGGTAACCAATCTTCCCATGTGTACTGCAAATCACACACAATCGGGCGAAGTATCTCCAGGATCTTGCGGTTGGCTCTCTCAACAAGTCCATTAGCCTGTGGATGATAGGCTGCCACAAAACTTTGCTGTAATCCATATTGGGCACATATTTGTGCTACTAGCTGATTCTTGAACTCTGTCCCATTGTCTGAGAGAAGAACCTTAGGCGTAGTATATGGACATATGAGATTCATCACTAATGCATAGGCCACAGACTCGGCTGTTTTATCCTTCAGTGGGACTAAAACCACGAATCTA